TGAAACTTAGTTCTACAATATCACCTACCATTTTTATTTAAAAAAAAAATTTTTTTTTTTCAACGTTTATTTATTTTTGGGACAGAGAGAGACAGAGCATGAACGGGCGAGGGGCAGAGAGAGAGGGAGACACAGAATCGGAAACAGGCTCCAGGCTCTGAGCCATCAGCCCAGAGCCCGACGTGGGGCTCGAACTCACGGACCGCGAGATCATGACCTGGCTGAAGTCGGACGCTTAACCGACTGCGCCACCCAGGCGCCCCACACCTACCATTTTTATATAGTACTTTACAAAATTATTTCCCTTGTATCATTTTATTTGATACCTACAATACTCTGTTTTGGGTAGGCTTTATTTATCCCTATTTTACTGGTGATTATAAAGCTACATTTGACATTGAAGCCTACATTCATGTGATACTTCAGAGAGAAAATGTGTTTTTACATTGCTTTAAGCAACTGGTTTGTCTCTTTGTAGTTAAATATACCCTGTTGGGTTTTACAAAAACAAAAAAAAAAGGTGCCTTTGCTCAATAGGCAAGTGCTAAAGATCTTGCCTTTTACAAGACTGCTTTGCCATCAAGGTGGAAGGAGGTACCCTGAGCCCGCCTGACCTACAGAAAGGCCTTGACTGTGGTTAGAGACCTTGACTGAAATTAATGGCGTGCCCACTCCAACCTCAAGCTTTTCTGTTGTGCTTCCTATATCTAGAATTTGTTAAAATCTATTTCAATAATGGAGTGTGAAACCAGGTTGATGAGTGAAGGGAGTCGGCACAAGGTGGAGTAAGCTGAACGTTAAGAGCCCAAAAGTTTTCGTAATAATGTCAGCGTATGATTGCATTTGTAGGGTAATAACTTCTGTGGTGCTAACATGCCATATTTGGGACTGTGTGGAATTTGAACCAGTACGATGAACCACAGAGCAAGGAAATAATCTCTGTTAGATGCTGGCATGTGACTTCCAATTTTTGTCCCCTGCCAGCACTGACCCAATGTTTGAGAGGATAAAAATGATTACAAAGTTTAAAAACAAGTCCTATCATTGTAAGTTTAAGAAAAAAAAAGGAATGATTTTAGCCTACTGAAGGAAAAGCTAAGGGATGGCTTGATTACCATCTTAAAGTAGAAGAATAGTTTTTGCCAGGGGGGTTTTGATTAATTGTTCTTTGGTACTTCAAAGATCTAAGAGGAAATGGGCTTAAATTGAAGGAGGAGTCATTGTAATGAATATGAGGAAGATTTTCTTGATCATCCAAGTTGGGAAACATTTGAATGATTGCTAAAAGCGTTGAATTTCTGACGATTTCAGTTTTCTATTACCGTGTAGCAAATCATCTTAAAATTTGAGTGGCTTCAAATGGCAACCATTTTATTGCTTATGAATCTGTGAGTTATATTCAGGGAAGAAGGGCATATTGCTTTGCTCCATGTGATTTGACTTGACTGGGGGATCCAACATGGGTTCACTCACATACGTGGGCCTCTCTGCTAGCTGTTAGCTGAGACATCTTGGTTCTCCTCCATGAGTTCTGACACTCTCTTGGTCTCTCATCATTCATTAATCAAAATCAGGCTCCTTTTACATGGTGGTTGGTTTCCAAGGTGGCCATAATGGAAGCTGCAGGGCCTCTTAAGGCCTAAGCCTGGGCATGTTAATCAGTATCTCCTGGAGGGTGTTGGCACGTATGAGACAGTCTGTGTCCTTTCTCTCAGATAACCTTAAAATGAGGGTGGGGGTTGAGAAAGGGAACAAGACTGATCCAGATAGGTACAACATAAGGCAGAATGGTGGGTGCCTTAAGATAGGCCTGCTGGTCTCCTCTTGCTTCCAGGACCTGATTGAACCCTCTGCCTGGTATGCTCTGCCCTCCAGTCTGCCTAGGCTAAATTATGTCTCATTCATTCAGCACATCATTTAAGGAATGTTTTTTGAAACCTCGCATATTTTTTCTCATAGTTTCTAGCACCTTTTTTCTTCATAACATTTTTTGTTTACAGTTTTTACAATTTGTAATATTTGTGTGATTATTTGACTGATACACAGTAGACAAAAATATGTCTGCTTTGCTCTCCAGTAGCTAACGTAGTACCTGCCTCATAAAAGGCACTCAGCAAGTATTGTTGAATGAATAAGTGGTTGATTGAATGCATGCATGAATGAAGTGATACTTGAATTCAGTTTTAAAGGGTGATTAGAATTGTGGACAGGTGGAGCAAATGACTGGGAAATTCATGGTTCTGAAGTGGAGGTGTAGA